ATGAATCAAATATGTATCTTTATTCATTTACAATAAACTCATAAAGTACATCATTCTGATTGAAGCTAAGGGCATACAAAACTGTCTAACATTACCATATCTCATAAAGTTCATGGCTACTAATCAAAAAATAAAAAAAGAATAATTTGCCCCATTCATGGTCCATTCAGTCAAGGGCTCAGTAATTTCACTCTTACTAGTCATTGATCCAAAACCATTTTTTTTATCAGAAAGGAATTTGCAGGCCTCTCAATCAGAATGTTTATCCCTTTGATCAGAAAATTTTGCAGGCCTCTCTCTCTCTCTCTCTCTCTCCCTGTTCATGTGTGTGTGTGTGTGTGTGTGTGAAAATGGAGCAATGAACTAAACACACTCTATCAAAATATATGTGGTAAGTTTTAACTGAAATATTGTATTGCAGTGGTTCTCAATGAAACGACAACATGCCTTGATAGTTATGGCAGACAGTCTTTACTACTCGAAATTCAAGCTTTATTGCAAGGTATCTTCATACTTTGAGTGTATTTTTAGTCATTGAGAATTTTAGTTCATTTTTGTCATATGTATTTTTATTCTAAGGTTTTATATTTTCTCAAATAAAGAGTTCAATTTAGACTTATGAATTTGTCTTTTTCACTGGCTGGTCCTAACAGTGATCTGGTTTTGTTTTATCATTTTCGTAAGGGCTTCCTGCTCTAGCAAATTCTGCATATAGTTCTGCTTTTCTTTTGCTTTCCTCCTTTTCCCTGCCTTATCTATTCTCTTGTATTTTACTTTTAGTAGACAATTTTCATTGCATTTGCAGAAAATTTCAGCTGGAAATGCATATACAGAAGCTAAAGAGTATCTAAACCATATCCCAGAACCTATAGAAGCTATATGATGCATGATCTCTTAAAATAGTACATCTATCCATGCGAAATGTTTTAATCAGATATTTCATCAATTAATGTAGAGCAATTGCTCCATAAATATTCTTTCGCATTAGCAAATTTCAAATGCATCTGCAAGAATACCATGTGTAACAAGTATCTATGCTTGGATTATACTTGGCTCCTAAGAACAAAAAATGAGAGCATGTCAGTTGCATATAAAAGGAGTTACATAATAAGAAATGGAAGGTTGCCCTGCTCCCTTAACTCCTTGTGAATGGCTCTGTTATGGACCCGGAATAGGATCGCGTCACGGGTCAGTCCATGGGGAAAAGCTCCTGTTTTCCCTTGTTCCTCCCCTTCCTAGCTGAACCTATCTTGGCRTCCTARWGGGTGATTTGTCCAAGRGATCACCGAACTCTCCTTTTACTCTCTTTCTTGACTGGAAATTTGATATCCTCATTCAATAATGGGGTCTCCTTAAATAGGAGATTACAAGAGTCCTAATCAAAGG